CTGCGGGCTTTTTTCATATTTAGTAAACAACAATGACCTGATGTACTTCAGTACAATTCCTCCTTTCTCAAGTTGTGTGCAAATTTACTGGGCCTACCAACTGCACATGCAAGCTGATAGCCAGTGCAAGACAAGGTGAATAATACTGATAAGCAATGCTATTTCCACACAGCTGTTTTGAAATCTGATTGGGAGTGTGAAATTCTTGGCTTTTAGATGTACCAAATATTCCCAGTGAGCCTAGAGTTCAGCACTCTCTCACACAGTGGTGCAGACTTCCAAATTTAATGCTAAGGGTTTTTATATCATTGATGCACTGTAAGCAGAAGGACAATTTGCGCTTTCTGGAGCTCTTCCCATTCATACATTGCATACATTGCATCCTATCAGCCACATTATCTCATAAGTAGCAGAGAAGAAAAAAGTTGCAGCTATATTTGCACAATTAGAAAAGCCAGGAAAAAAATCAAGAACATATAACCCAGCTTTAACAAATATTGGGGGGGGGGGGATGAACTGAGGCACAAAAGCCTCAGGTTTTTTCCTCATTTTGCCTCAAAAGGGTGATTTCGAGCTGGAAAACAGCACAGGAGGGAAGGCTTAAGGTGACATTCTTCCCCCAAAGAGTGATTAACACATGGAATTCACTGCCACAGGAGGTGGTAGCGGCTACAAGCATGGGCAGCTTCAAGAAGGAACTGGATAGACATATGGAGCACAGGTCCATCAGTGGCTATTAGCCACAAGGTATAGATAGGAACTCACAGGCTGGGGCAGGTGATGCACTGTATTGTTGGTGCTGGGGGGGGCAACAGTGGGAGGGCTTCTAGTGTCCTGGCCCCACTGATGGACCTCCTGATGGCACCTAGTATTTTTGGCCACTGTGTGACAGAGTGTTGGACTAGATGGGCCATTGTCCTAATCCAAAATTGGCTTCTTATATGTTCTTATGTTCCCCGTGAAATGGTCCCAATACAAATCAGGGGCCTACACCCTACTCTTCAAAAGGGAAAAAAACACCTAGGAGTTCATTCACGGAACATCTGGTTTGTCTCAAAATCACCAAGATGCTTTCTACAAACAGAAGGAGTAGGTCTGTTGTTTACAATTTCTGACAAACCAGTGTGCAACAAGACTCATGACAACAAGATCACTTCATGAACTCTGCCAAGTACTTTAACTGGTTACATTTTTTAAAGTTATGGTTCCAGGTGTGCTTAAAAAGGATTAGCTTCGAAGAGCAACTTTACAGAATCAAACCAAACAAAGAATGAAAGTTCAACAGCAGCACAACAAAACTAGCACACAGATGTACTCACTCCTGAGATCCAAGTGCTAATCCCATGGCAAGACAATGCTTTGCTCAAAGCATCATGTTCTAACAGATATAATGTACTTATTCTAATCCTTGTGCACCCTTGTCCAGACGGTTCACTGTATCAAGAGAAATAAATCCCATGAGCTGCTGTTGACTGTTACGAGAGGAAAGCCTAACAATGGGACACTGAATACTGCAAGAGGTACATTAGTATCTACACCTCCACCACACACAAGCACTGCAGTGAATGGAAGCCCCCATTTTATGTGGCTCAGAAAAGGGAAGATGCAAGTACAACCACACTGATAGGGTGCTGTCATTTCAAATGGTAAGCAAGGAGGATGTCCTTCTCAAAAGAAACTACCTGTCAACAAGATGTGAAGATGAGGGTACCTATAAGAATTAAGTAGACAATAAATCCCATATTTGATGTCAGTAAACCTTTATTCAAAAAGGAACCCAAACTTCTATGATCTAGCAGAGAGTGTGACCAAGGAGACCTTGATTCAGATCCTAAATGGATTTGAATCCAGGGCTCTTTAGATGCTATTTCACTTGCTTCTCTCAATGTGTTTCTTATCTCCAAAAATGTAACAGTTAACAGTTGGTTCTTTTGAACTATGGTGCTGGAGAAGACTCTTGAGAGTCCCTTGGACTGCAAGAAGATCAAATCAGTCAATCCTAAAAGTAATCAACCCTGACTGTTCCCTGGAAGGCCAGATAATGAAACTGAAGCTCAAATACTTTGGCCACCAAATGAGAAGGGAGCACTCACTGGAGAAGACCCTGATGCTGGAAAAGATTGAAGGTCAAAGAAGACGGGGACGGCAAAGGATGAGATGGTTAGACAGTGTCATAGATGCAACGAGCATGAAATTGAGCAAACTTCAGAGGACGGCGGAAGACAGGAAGGCCTGGCGTGATCTGGTCCATGGGGTTGTGAAGTCGGACTCGACTGTGCGACTGAACAACAACAAACAGTTGGTTCAAAGGTGCAAAAGATAAAGGCTAAAATTTTAAACACATTAACAGAACAATCATGAGACAAACCTCTTTGATGTAGTGAGAGCCAGTTTGGTGTAGTGCTTAAGAGCACAGATTCTAATCTTGGAGACCCGGGTTTGATTCCCCACTCCTCCACCTGCAGCTGCTTGTGTGATCTTGGGTCAGTCACAGGTTCTCTCAGAGCTGGCACTGGTATTTCTGGCCACTGTGTGACACAGAGTGTTGTACTGGATGGACCTTTGGCCTGATCCAACATTGGCATCTCTTATGTTCTTATGTTCTCCCAAGAGCAGTTCTCTCAAAGCTCTCTCAATCCCACCTACCTCGCAGGGTGTCTATTGTGGGGAGGGGAAGGGAAAGGAGATTGTAAGATGCTCTGAGACTCTGAGTGAAGGAAGGGGAATAAACCCAATCTCTTCTTCTCCTCTTCCAAACATTCCATCCCACACTTCCAACACTTTACTACTAGTGTACTACTGCTGCGTGACCAGGGCAGAGCTAGGTAAAGAGGAGCCAGCTTTTTTTTCAAAGACTCCCATGGAGTTCTATGCTGCCACCTGGGTATTACCAGGAAGCAAGGTATAAACAACTGAATTGCTTTATTGTGTTTTTATTGTTACAATTTGTTTTACAGTATACTTGGTTTTGCTTTGTTGTTGTCTGGAGAGGTAGCATACAAGTTTTCTACATAACTAAATAATGGACAAAGTAAAATGGGTTGCAATCTGGAAGTACTTCAGATTTAGCCCACACATAAAATGTGCGCATCTATATGGATTACCAGGAAGAGGAAAACCTAAATACATCAACCTGAAATCCTTGGTGGAAAGGTGGGATAAAAACATAATTTACTGGGTCACTTGAATGGTTATCATCCACCTCTGTGAAAAAAGAAGGCTTCCACTAGGGTTTATGTTACAATGAAGGCAAAACCTGCCCACTTATCTCTCCTGAATCGCCATGTACAGCCCCCTCCCCCGGAATTATGTTTCTAATACACACACACACACACCCTCCACTTATCACACTTGGTAGGTTTTTAGGGAAGACAATGCATATTGAGGATGGGACACTTTCCCATAGGGCAAAGCAAAAGGGCTACAATTTAGGACACAAATGAGAAATTTGCCACAGATACTAGGATTACCAGGAACATGAATGACTTTAGCCCCAATTGTACATCAAAGCCAACTCTTTCATTTTCCTTGGTATAAATACCGCTAGTACTTTAATATTATATTGTTTTAATGAACTGTTTTTAGATGCTTTATGGCAATTTGATTGTTATTATGTTTTTACCTGTGTAAGCCACCTTGAGCCTGCTTTGGCAGGGAGGGCGGGGTATAAATCGGAAAAACAAACAAACACAATTCACTCATTCAGGGGCAACACTACACTGGAAGTAAAACCTACCTTCTCTATCTGCCACTGGGCAGCCTGGCCTCTCATGAACACATAAAGCTGCCTTATACTGAATCCCACCATTGGTCCATCAAAATCAGTATTGTCTACTCAGACTCGCAGCAGCTCTCCAGAGTTTCAGGCAGAGGTTCTTTCAGATCAGCTACAACCTGATCCTTACTTGGAGATGCTGGGGATTGAATTTGGGACCTTCTGCATACCAAGCAAATATTCTACCACTGAGCCACAGACCCTCCACAACAGAGAGCCAAATAAGAGGATCTCTGTATTCATTTTACTCTCCCCCAGTAATTTCTACTAAACAATCCCATGAAAATAGAAAGCATTTTGGTAATTACATGCAACTTCTGCCAAAATACAGAACACAAAAGGAGAAGCTGGGGCATAAAGGGTACCAAACCCATTGAAACAGCAGCTCTTTACTATCATCACTATTTCTCAGGCATTATTTTCTCAGATTAAAGATGCTGGGACAGCAAGCCCTGCCCACAGTCTACGATGCAGGAAAAGAGCAGGTCCCTGTAGCCATTTAGGGAGGAAGGAAAAGGAGCTCTATACGGACACAGGCACCTTCTCTTCCAGTTTATTTACGTTCGAGGGGCAAATCCAAGTACTGAAAGTATCTGGGGATGCTTTCTGGCTCGCATAAAACAGTGTAAACGTGGAATGTATGTGTAACAGAATGAACACAAGGGCAGGCAAAACGTCCCTGGCGAGTCTGCAGAAAAGCCGCTAGTCTACTACCACGAGGATGACAGCTGGGGCCGAAGGGAAGCTCGCGCTCCGCAGCAGAAAGGCGCGAAAAAAGTAGGCGAAAGGGAGAAAGTATTTAGGAAGTATGGGGCCCTCCGACGCCTCTCCAAGCGTCCAGCCTACAGGAAGATCGAGGGCGCAGGCAGAAAGAAGAGGGAGGGACTTGATTCTCCCCAACTCGGATCCCTTGTTCGTAGTACGGATACCGCCACCAGCCTGGAAAGAGAGAACCATCCAGCCCTTCTCCTCCCCCACTTGGCCGGCACAGTGCTGAAAAAATGGGACAGGTGAGTCGTGTTCTTCGGCTCCTCGTCCTGTGACTCACACAGAGCCACACGGTGAGCTTCATTCCAGGGGCTCAAGAGCAGCAGCAGCCGCCTCCTTCCCCCTCCCGCGTCTTCCTTTTGCCAGGCGAGCTGAGCGAGGGGAGCTCGGCCTGTCCCTCTCATACGCCTCGACCCACTCCACTTCCTTCCCTCTGCCTGCCAAGCCCGCGCAATACCTGCCCGATGTGCCCCCACCGCTGCTGTCCTGTCGGCCTCCTCCCGGCCCCGCACACGCACGCACCACGGCCCGGCGGCGGCTATCACTATGGCGGGCACACACTTTGCTCGTCACCGCGCCAGAGTACCGTCACCCCTTACGCAATAGTCACACACGGACCCCACAAAGTGTGGCAGTCGGCCGGGAAATGTAGTTCGGTAGCAAAGGAATCCAAAGCGCATGCGTCTTCGCTCCTTTCCCTCCCTCCCCCTTCCTGTCTCAATGCTCTTTGGGAATGGTAGTATCTACAGTCTTTGTGTTACGTACATATACAGAACAAAGTTTGAGTCCAGTGGCACCTTTAAGCCCAACAAAATGTCATTCAAACTATAAGCTTTCGTGCGCACACTTTTTCAGACAGACCGTCTATATGGTCGAAGAAGTTCAATGAAGGTAGCGATTCTACCTGCGAACTATTGCAGGAACGGAGATTTTAAAAAGTTTTTCCTGGGAAGCGTGACGGGCAAATCTTTTTGTGTGTGTGTGAAGATTGGGTTGGATTTATACCCCGCCCTTCACTCGGAGTCTCAGAGTGGCTTACAAACTCATTTCTCTTCCCCTCCGCACAACAGACACCCTGTGAGGTAGTTGGGGCTGAGAGAGCTCTGAGAGAAACTGCAATGAGGGAATACGCTGCATGCTCCCTATGATGTAAAAACAATTTTGTAAGGAACAGGAAAGCTAGAACACATAAAACTAAATAGTAGTAGTATTATGACATGGCTAATTCAGCATAGGGTTAGGCAAGTAAGTACCATTTGATAGACAATCATATCTAACAAGTCCCATTGAGTTCAATGGACCTACTTCCATGTGCATAGGATTGTTGCAAAATCCCGTTCAAGTCTACTCTATATGGGCTATACAATAAATTTATTCAAGGTGTGAATAATTACTTTCTACAAGGAAGCTTAGTAGAGGTCTTATTGCATGTAGGTATGACTATAACAAAGCCCTAAGCAAATTATAAAAACTCTTTAGGCAAGGATTACGTCACCTCATTCTATATACTCATTAGAGAGGAAGCAAAATTTCAACATTAAAATTTCAGAATTGTTAACAGAATGTATCATTTTGTTAAAGGAATGAAAATATATAATGCGCTACATTCTGTTCCAAATGATTAGCAGATGTTTTCAGCTGTCAACTTCTGCACCTATACTGCCAGATACTGTATAATACTGCTACTGCATGTCAACTGTGAAATCTTTCGAAATGTTAATGACTGTTCATGTGATAGTAACTATAAAGTACTGAGACTGAGGCATAGCGTAGTGATTAGTTAAATGGAGAACTTGAGATAACTTGCGGGACCCACGGCCCACTTATATTCTCGTTCAAACCACACCCAACACACACACCCAATCCTGTGATAGGCTATACACAATGCTACTTTCACTCACTAGCTCACTTTAGGATCCGAACTGGCCGATTGGCGAGTCCTAGGATCCTCTGTTCCTAACAGTGGGAGGGCTTCTAATGTCCTGGCCCCACTGGTGGACCTCCTGATGGCACTGGTATTTCTGGCCACTGTGTGATACAGAGTGTTGGACTAGATGGGCCTTTGGCCTGATCCAACATCTTATGTTCTTATGTTCTTAATGTTGTCGGAAGCAAAGCTCAGACGGCCACAAGTGAGTTCGCATATACAGTCTTGCTTGGTATACAACACTCCTCCCCCCTAGGTCCAGATTCCCCCCTAACAAACATAGTCCATGAGTTAAGGGGGCTTCCTCCGCTCCCTAGTGGAGTGGCGTACCTCCGGAGCTGGGGCCATGTTCTAAGGTGCTGTTCTTGTCGGTGCTGGGAGAGACACTTCTACCTCTGGGCCCTCTGCAGCGGCAGGTGTGTTGCACGGCTCTTGGCTGCTTGGTGGCTCCGTGGTTACACTGTCATCGCCTTCAGGCAGAGTGCCTGGCTGGGGCCGCATTGGAGTGGATTCTCCGGGGTCTGGGTCCTCAGCCTCACTGTCGTCCGAGTCTGCGGGGAGGAGACGGAGACGGCAGCGTAACTGATCTATGTGTCATCTCTATAGTTGACTGTCTTCGCTGGAGACCTTGTAGGAGAGCGGCCCTGTCACCTGGACGACTCTGGCTGGAATCCATGCAGGACCCCATGCATAGTTCTGAGCATACATGGGGTCCCCTGGGAAGAACCCTCGTGGGGCCTCCTGATCTTCTGGGGCTGTGCTGTGTTCTGGGGCCATGTCTCGATGGAGGCAGTCCAGCTGAGTTGTCAGGCAACGGCCCATGAGGAGTTCAGCTGGACTGTGGCCGGTGGTGGTGTGGGGGGTCATGCGCTGGCCGAATAGGAAGGCAGCCAGCTTGTAGTCCCAGTCCCCCGATCCATGCGGCAGAGGGCCTCTTTCGTGGTTCTGACCATCCGCTCTGCCTGGCCATTAGTTGCTGGGTGAAATGGAGCGGAGCCTTATGTGCCTTATGCCATAGTACTGCACAAACGCCTGAAACTCCGTGGAGGTGAAGGCTGTGCCGTTGTCAGATACCAAGGTGTCAGGGATACCATGGGAGCTAAAAATCCACCACATTGCATGGATGGCTGAGCGGGAGGATGCGGACGGGACCGGTTCCACCTCCAGCCACTTAGTGTAAGCATCTACTAATATAAAGAAGATCTGTCCCTGAAAAGGGACCGCAAAGTCCAAATTTAGTCGTGCCCAAGGCTTGTGGGACGACTCCCACGGCCGCACCGGAGCTTTCGGTGGCTCCAGTCTTGATTCCTGACATTTCTGGCAATGCTTCACTTTCTCTCTTCGATTTCACTGTCCAACCCCGGTCACCACACATAGCTCCTGGCCAGGGCTTTCATTCTGACTATTCACGGTGGTCCTCATGTAGGGCAGTGCATACTCTGTTTTGCAGAGGTTTGGATACCACCACCCAACTGCCCCACAGTAGGCACCCCTTGTGGGAGGACAACTCATCCTTACAAGATGAGAATGCTGTGAACTCAGGTCCCACCTGGCCCGTGGGCCACCCCCTCCCCACCCAGTCCAGGACCCGGGAGAGGAGGTGATCCTTGGCCATGTGGTGCGACACCTCCGCCACCCAGACTGGCCGGTTGGGCAGGGCCTCCAGCAGGGCGAAGTGCTGAGCCGGGGCCAGGTCAGGATCAGAGGAAGGCAATGGGAGGCATGATCCATCACTTTGCCGGGGTGGTGGATGAGCTCGTATTGGTACCCCGCCAGGAAGATGGACCAGCGCAGCACCCTAGGGGACAGCACCTGCAGGGTCTGGCAGTCCAGGGCGAGCAGGCTCAAGAGGGGTTTGTGGTCAGTCGCCACCATAAAGGCCCGGCCATAGAGATAGTCATGAAATTTTTTCACGCCGGCAACGATCGCTAGGGCCTCTTTATCAATTTGGGTGTAATTGTGTTCCGCCGCCAATAAGGTGCGAGAGTAATAGGCGTTGGGGACCTTGCGACCATCTGCCAACCTGTGTCCCAGGACTGCCTCCATCCCATACGGAGAAGCATCGCAAACCAACACCACTGGCAGGGCCTCATCGAAGTGGGTGAGGACGGCATTGGAGGACAAGAGTTCCTTGACTGCCCGGAAGGCAGCTGTGTGTTTGGGACCCCAGACCCCGGGAGCATGCTTATCGAAGTGAATCGGCTCTGCCACAGCAGCCTTGTGGGGCAGGAATGAACGGTAAAAATGTTAAAGTCCTAAAAAGGATTGTAGCTCCGCCTTGGAAGAGGGCAGGGGCGCATCCACAATGGCATTAATCTTGTCCCGAGTGGGTGGATTCTCTTGGTATCCACAGCAAACCCCAAGAATTCCACCTGCGGCACCCCCGGGAGGCACTTTTCGCGCTTCACCTTCAAGCCAACGCCGTTGAAGCACTGGAACACCATCCAGAGCCGGGCTGCGAAGGTCTCGGAGTCTGGCACCGCTATTAAAACATCATCAAAGAACGGCTGGACTCCTGGGATGCCTTTGAGGAGACAATCCATGAGGTTTTGGAAAATCCCCAGTGCCACGCTCACCCCGAATTGAAGTCACCTAACTCTGAAAGCCCCCCTATGGGTCACTATAGTTTGGGCCTCGGTGGTGGCTTCGTCCACCGGCAGCTGTTGATATGCTTGGACCAAGTCCAGCTTCCTGAAAACCCGCACCCCTGCCAGAGATGCCAAGACATGACTGACCCCCAGTACCAATGGTCCAGGAATTCCTTGTTAATTGTACACTTATAGTCGGCACAAATTCTGACATCCCCATTGGGCTTTACAGGGGTGACTATAGGGGTTTCCCACTGGGCATGCGGCACGGGTTCCATGAGGCGGTCAAGCTTGGCCTCAATCTTGGGCCTTAGTGCGAACGGGGGCTGCCTGGCCTTCATCCAGATGGGCCTCACCATGGGGTCTAGGTCGAGGGCCACCAGGGATCCAGAGTAGCGGCCGAGCATGCCATCGAACACCCTCAGAAACTCATCACAGACTGAGTTAAAGTTCTGCGGCCGTATGTGGTTTACGCTCGTCACCCCAAAAACCCAGTGGGCCGAACCACAAGAGTCCCAGGAGGCCCGTGAGCCTCCCTTCTACCACCAGCAATTCTAAGAGTCCATCAGAGTCCTTGTACTGCACCCTGAACTTGCCCCACCCCTTGATGGCCACCGGGTTCTTTTGGAAGTCCCACAGTGTCAGGCCCCGGGGCTGGTGAAGGAGCGGTGCCCCTCCCGAGGGCCAGCTTCTGCAGGGTTTCTGCAGAGAGTATCGAAAATGACAACCCATTTTACAGGGGGACCCCTCTATTAATACGGTAACATGCATTTTGTTGGGGGCGTCTGGGGGCAAGTTCAGTACCTGATGCTGGTTGATGGTGAGGGTATGCAGGTCCTCATGGTGGGTGGATGTCTTCCGTCGGGTCCCTCTGGACTGGCAGGCCCAGGCGATGTGTCCTTGCTTGCTACAGGACCGGCATATGGTGTCTCAGAAACGGCATGTTTTCCTTTCATGCGCCTCCCTGCAGCTGGCGCAAGAGGCCTGGGTGATGGGCTTCTCGTATGTCGTGGC